CCCTTATGATAAAATTTTACATGCCTACTTACTTCTTTTGGTGTGAAATTCAATGAGCATTCCAAAGCAGAATATGCATCTATGATCACAGTATACAGACAAGGAGTTGATGGAGAACAGCAAGCATCTGTCAGAAAAAGGAGGGTTGCATATATTATCATTTGTACTGATTAGTTATGTAGATATATAATTCTACAGACGTGTGCCTAGAGGACAAGTGGAGGGGTAGATGTTGCAGTAGACTAGTACTCTACAGCAAGTTCCAGAATTGTTGGTTTTATATGTTGTGGTAAAGACACTAAAAAATGTCTTGATCTCATACTTAAAGACATACCTAACAGGCAGCTAAGGATTACTGAACTGTATGGGATGTACATGTTTCTTTGGGAGTGAGCCATAAAATCTCTCACAGAATATTGAACACATTATTCAAAAGAATTTTGAGAATAACTGCAATCACTAAAGTATTTTTATGTATTTACAGACTTCCTGCCTGGCTATCAAAAACCTATTCCAGCAGTCAATAGGAGAACAAGCATATTCCCCATGGTGTATAAACTGCAGTGATGTTTATAGGCAAAGACAGAAGGAAACAATCTTGAGTGATTTCACCATAAATTATACCTCAAAGTTCCCTAAAAATATCAAAAACATAAAGACTAGTATAAGTCTTCTATAGCAGAAGTAGTGGCTGTGTTGCCCATGGTTACTGATTACTCTAGGGTTGCGGGCTAAAATTAAATAGTTCCATACAAACATATTCAGGTCATTTCTGTCATAGTGAAAACTATGAAAATTGGCTTTTGCTGTCTGTAGGATTGACTGTGTGATTATTTTAGCATCTTTCCAAGACACAGGCTTTTATACACTGGAGCAATGCAGGTTTGGGATGCATTTAAAATCGCACCAAAATTTCTCCCCTTAATGAAGTCAACAGGGTTTTACTTCTATGTCAAAAAAAAAAAAGGCTAAAGCAGTTACATGAAGCCACTCTGGGAAATAGTTTCAGGCAATTCCGAAAATGAATACATAGTAAATTTGTGCTAGAGAAGTTCAGAAGTTGGTTAAGCCAAAAGGATGTATGCCTCACACATTCAGTACAAAACTTTATCTGAACTAGATTATTTTGGGGATAAATGGATTTCATTATTTCCAAGACAGTGAAAGGGTCTTATGGGGAAAAGATAAGAAAAATGACCATAGAAAAACACATCAAGGCATCTCACCAGGGGAAGAAAGACAAAGATGTCATACTATAAAATTATTGTTAACAATCCAATATATTCAGGACCAGAAAGCAATTTGGAACTCTGTGTCTGAAAGATTGCCCAAGCTCACAGAACGTTATTGTAAGATTAATTTTTTAAAATCACAGTCTGACCAACGCTGAAGTGAATTTCACTTGACTGGAAAAAATTATGGAAACAGTTCAAATACTAGACTAGTCTTGAGGGTGCTTGCCTCATCAGTTCACTGAATTAGGAACAACCCTAACAGATATATTGAATTTCAAATGATGACAGACCAAGCAACTAACCCACAGTCCAAAGACTGGTTTGGCATCAGTGGGTCCACCACAGCATACAGACTCCCAGCAGTACCAAGCCTGGACTTTCACTGAAAGTATAAGCAAACCCCAACACAGGGGGTGACAGAAAGTCCTGAGGAGCCAGATGTCTGGGAACCTCTTAGATAAAAGAGACTAAGCAAACCAAAGTCAACAAAGCAAAGTTATTACAGGAAATTGAACCTAAGGGTCTGTGTAGAATTTGACCTTTCCACGTGAGACCTGAAGTGGAATCTTAAACAGAGTTACACCCTTCAAAACCATCGACTCAGAAAGGTAGAACTGTGCTTAGAATTGCACTGTTGGGTCCAGAAGATATGCAAAGGACTAGCTAAAAGAACAGGCTGAAGTACTGGAACAACAAACATAAAGTCTAATAGCTACATTCACTGGAAAGCTCCAGCTGGCTACAATGCTTATAGTTAAAAGGTAAGCTTACATTAATAACAAATAGGACCTCATTGCATGTGTGCTTACCTACAGATTGCATTTTAGCTAGCATTATCTTGGCCCATATTTTTACTTAGGGTCAAATTACACAATTTTTTAACAAGTTAGGTCCAGGAAACCTCATTATACAACGTAACATATAGTTGAGCCCTTAGTTGTTGGAAGATCCCACTCACTCCCCTGGTAGGTGCTTCTCTCTTGTGAGGGTCACAAGTACACATGCAGGGTAGCCACCACTCTGGCTTTATTTATTATGACTTTATCCCACTTCTTTTCCCAGTAGGGAGCCAAAATAATGTACAAAAATGCAATTTAAACAGTGTTTTAAAAAAGAAAAAGTACACAAAATATCCTGGTCTGGTATCTAAAAGGCTAGTCCATCCCAGGCAAGACCATGAGCTAAGAGCCAAAGGCCAAGAGCCCTTAGGCTCATAGCCAATAGTGTGCATTCAGTTTACCCAAATGAAAAAAAGCTTTAAAAAACCCCAGTATTTTTCGGGGGGTGGGGGTTAAGCCAAATCTGATCAGAGAATCTGATTCAGCTATCGATATAGCTGAGCCTTTAAAGTGGTCTCTTTAAATGTCTTCTGAGTTCACTCGCCAAGTCGTGCCACTGCCACAGTGCCACAGCTTGGAGCCACAGCATTTAGTTTTAGTAATCACTGCTTGCTTGAGCAATGATGACTCATGAAAGGGCAGTCCTTTAAGTTCCTACAGTGGAGGATGGGGGGACCTTATTCTGGGGCCCATAGAATTGTAGCCCCGGTCCAATCTTTTAGAAACTTGGGGGGGTGAGGAGAGGCACCAGAGCCCCAGTTACCCCTGGATGCATTCTCCATTATAACCTATGGGGACGATTGACTATAATGGACCCCATAGGGTATAATGGAGCTGAAAAAAATGAGCAATCCCGATTATTTTCCAAATTCCAATACCATACCGATACTGGGATTCTGGAATATCAGGAAATACCGATATTTTTATAGTTCAATATACTCGAGCCCAAAAATTACCTTTTTTTCCCCCTTGCAAACCCCTAGTACCCAAACACTCATGGCCCCACTATGACCAAGCTTTAAGTACCCTCAGCAAAAGGGAAACAGCCAGACTGGTTCTTATAAGCCAGAAGTCATCTTTCCACATTAACCTTAGTTTTTCTGAAAACTTATGAGTTTTTCTCAAAGCATTTAGTTTTAGTAATCACTCACGAAAGCTCATGCCCCGCCACATATTTTGTTAGTCTTTCAGGTGCTATTGAACTCTTGCTCTTTTCTACTGCTTGCAGGATTATTTTTATATATCTTTTAAGTTTCTATGTAAAAAGAGAGACTTTTATTACAAAAATCATTTTCTTATTGTATTTTCTTATTTTACGAAAGCAACATTTTTTGTGGTTAATTACAAGTTTTAAAAAAGCAGACAAATACCTGGCTGAGGAGTAAAATGCAGTGTAAAGTCATCATGATTAGATAAATCGAATGTGACCCTGGCGCGTGTCTTGCCTTTGTTTTCAATAAAAAATGGAATTTTTTGAGTAGAGCCAACATAAACACCAGGGAAGACAAAGGAACACTTTAAAAAGAAGAAGAAACACACATGTAAATTACTTGGAAGAAATATAAGCGAACAGCTCTACTAACATCCTTACTGAGCAAGCGGTGTACAGTGGCAGGCCAAATCCTCAATGCAGAGTTCATGGCAGTCCCTGATTACTTCATTCACTGTCACATGTCTCCAGCAGTTTAAAATGAAGTGGTACTGTCAGCATTAAAATTCATAACTTAACCATGTCTTGGTTATTAAGCCAATGACATCTCCAAAGGGAAATAATAGCAACCCAACTATACTTATTCTGGGTTTGCGAATCCATGGAAGACTCTAAAATATTAAATCAAACTGCTTTAAGCTCCCCCACATCAGAACATAAAATCACTGGTCGAAGGGAGACCTCATCTGAATGTAAACAGACTTTTACATTCATAGGGATGCTTGATACACAGGCTTTATCGTCTTATCTATAAGCAAACATCTTGTCAAGGTGAAACTCAGGCCATTCAGAATCTCTTCATTCTGTACCACAGCACTTCTTCACATACACTGTCTATATCTTTGGATTTTCCTGCCTGGACCTCAGTTCTGACACGGTACTGTTTTAGCCTGGATCATGTTGATTTCGTAATAAACAAATCATTGCCAAAGAGAGTGTTGTTGGGAGTCTCTCGACTAGGAGTCTGACACTATGTTATTTCTTCTTTTCTCTGCCTTTCCAAAGCATCATGGGACAGAACTACAAAATCTCACCTCTCTGCTATTTTCTATACAGATACCTCTGGAGAGTTATGTGATCTGTTCCTTAGAAGAAGAAGAGATTTGATTTATACCCCACCCTTCACTGCCCAAAGGAGTTTCAGAGAGGCTTACAATCCCTTTCCCTTCCCTTCCCCACAACAGATACCCTGTGAGGTAGGTGGGGCTGAAAGAGCTCTCTCTTGAGAACTGCCCTTGAGAGAACAGCTCTGAAAGAACTTATGACTGACCAAAGGTCACACCAGCAGCTTTGCATGTGAAGGAGTGGGGAATCAAACCAGGTTCTCCCAGATTAGAGTCCGCATTCCTACCACAACACCAAACTGGCTCTCTTACAGTTAGCTATTTCCTTTTAACCACTCTCCCTGCTCTATCTTCTACTATTAAATGTATAGTACAATCAACAAACCTTAATTCTTGATCCTGTATGTGAAGAGAGAGACTTTTATTTCATTATAATTATTTACAATAGTACCAATATTTACATATCCTTTGTGCCAGAATATAACAAAAACCACTGACACTATGGAAACACAGATCTTCATTTCTATAATTAAACTGAACTCCTGATTGAACTGACCCTTGAAGTCAACCATCAAAGTATTTTAGCATACTATACAACTAAACAATGATTAGTTACCATTATTTACATTCTACCACAGTTAAATATATTTAACAGCATGATCCTGAGGGGGGAGTTGAAAGCATTCAGGAAGGTGACCAGCTGCTACCCTGGTGTATCTCAGAAATACACCAAAGGAGTGTCCTCACGCCACCACACCATTGCAAAGTTCCAGCATGGCAAGGCTGAGGCCCCCTGCCAGAGAATAGTTGAAGCTACCACCTGCACCAGTGTTGGGAGGGGTGGTCAGACCCCTGGTCCAGTTACACTCAACTACTCCATCTTGGCAGTAAAAAAGATTATTGAATTATATGCAAGATCCAGAAAGTCACTGTGTTAGAACTGAAGACTTTTGGTGGGCACAAGCTTATTATAGACAATTCAAAATGAAGCCCCTTCCTACCCCCATGCACATGTCACATTCACACCACACCTAATGCTGCCATCCCAATCAAGTGAAAGATATATGTCTTGGTTATCAGCAGTCTAGTTTGGCACAGAGAGTCTCTCCAGGACACCTTCCCCTGGGAAACAGAAAGGAGGGACAGGAGGCTGACTTGTGAAAATTATGTCTTCTAGAAGCAAAGGTCTCACTCACACACACCCTCCCTTTAAGAATTCCCTCCCCCAACAGCAATGACAACCATAGCGAGCAATGTAGCATGGCTTAACAGGTGGGCCCAAGAGTGTGGCAAAAGTTAGTAGGCTTCTTAAGCTACCCCAGCCTTGGAACACCCCAAGGCAACGCCTGCAAAAAAGTGGCATCACCCATAGAACTCCATGGAGTCCTGAACAGCGAGCCCCACCCCATTAGGCACTACACCCCCTGTACCTCAAGAAGGCTGACAGAAACTGTGGCCTGCAACCACTGACCCAAGTCATGCACCACGGGGCTACATCAGTTGGCCAAATGACTGTGAGACTTAGCATTTTACACCACCATGGGAGCTCAAACACACTCAGGGAACACAAATACTATAGAGGAGCACAGCTCACTGATAGGGATGAGTTAGGGGGGAATGAGTCACAGAGGACCATCAGACCCCTGTGTACATGATTACCCTCATGGCAGGTGCCCCACAGAGGGTGCATCATGAGGGTGCACTCTGGGTCTTTTCCTCAGGCACATTTCCCCAGAACAGCCAAAGCAGCAGGCTGTTGCCCAATGGCAGGACACCAGGCCCGTACCCATGGCAAGATCACAGTATAGAGGAAGAGCAGTTCATCACTACTCCTGCACAGGTCCCCCATCCACAGCCCCATTTCCCTCACACCCTGTCCCATCCAGAGGCCGTGGCCACCACCCAAGAAGCCACAGCAGATGGACCCAGGGAAGATACCAGCATAGTGCTTGGCCATAGAGGGCTGCCAGTGACCATGTCCTCTGAGGCCCCATCCTGTGCCCAAGCTGAGACTGTTGCAGAGTGGGGTGGGGGGGATCCACTTGAGTAACCCCCATGCTCTACCACAGCCTAATCAAGGTGGGAACAAAGGTGGGAACACTGCTAGGGATTGAAAACTGTACACTAGGGATGCACTCCTGAAAAAAAATCTGAATGTTTTGGATTTGGATTTCAAGGTGTATCCATATGGGCATTCTGAATTATTCTGGTTCCCAATTCCATTTCTGGTAGGATTTGAGTTTTTTTTTTTAATCGTAATTTTTTGTGGTCCATTTACAGAGGACTCTTTCTGGAGAACTCAGGTGAATGTTGGGGGCCCTAGTCACACTTGCCTACTAAAGAACCCCTCCCCCCCAGTTTCAAGCAAATTGGAGCAAGAATCCAGTTCTATAAACTTCTGAACAAGGTATTCTCAGCTATTCTATTCATCCCCACTGTTTCCTCTGGGGAAAAAGATCCCATGGTTTCTCCAGGGACAACAGCCAAACACAAAACCGCAACCACTGGCCAAAAGCCTCCAAAAGCAAACAGAACCAACAAGCCCAACAGAACCAACATCCAACCATACAACCCCAGGAGAACTACAAACCAGTATAGCAAGCCCAACACAACCAATGTCAAACTAGAGAAGCCAAGCCAAACCAACTTAAGCAAGAGACATTTTTGCAAGTTTCTAGAAGTGAGGCTAGCTCATGATAACACATACAAACCCCAACATTATCTCAAAAAATTGAATTAGAAAAATGAAGACTCTCATATTCACCATACTGAGGGCTATGTCAGGAACCTCTACAGATCCACCAAGCCTCAGCTCCAAAGATTTGGCATGTCGTACTGAAACCTAAAGTAATGGAAATACAGAGAAAACTGAAATATTTTGTGAAAATATCTCCCCTTCAGAAGCAACCTTTCTAATGTTAAAGTTATCAGCTTTATTTTATTGATATGAAGGAAAAGTAAACAATGTGTTTCCTGTAGTGCAGTAAACCACTTGCACATGCAGGTACTTCCACAGGTAAGTTGCTGCATTGCACCAGCTGTTGAAATACATAGTCAGCCAATGAGATTAACTCAGGATTTTATAGAATTAATATCATCATCTTTCATACTTATTTTATTTATTAAAACATTTATATCCCACCTTTCTTCATGGTTCAAGGCTGCTTACAATAATGGTTAAAACATTTTCAGTTTAAAACCAAAAATAAAATAACAGACCCCGAACCTCTCCCCTTCTTGCCAATCACATACTGTCCTACAATTACTAAGCATACCATAAAATATACCCTAGGAGTCCCAAGTCTGTATTAGCAACCATCCCACTTGTCAAGAAACTGGCCTTCCCAGTCATTTCTTCACCTTTCAAATTTTGCTTGAAAAACTTTGGTTCAGGCTTTGGTCTAACAAAATCTTAGGCTTCTCTGGGAATCAGCTTCCTAGGGAGGTGGTGAGCTCTCCCTCACTGGCAGTCTTCAAGCAAAAGCTGGACAAACACTTGTCAGGGATGCTTTAGGCTGATCCTGCATTGAGCTGAGGATTTGATGGCCTACATCCAACTCTAAGATTCTGTGATTCTTGGACTTGTTGGTGACTTTAAATATCATCAACCATAGTATACTTCTGGGGAGGTTGGACTGGTTTAGGATGGCTGCTGTGGTAGATTTACTCCTATCTTGCCATGTTTCAAGAAGGTGGCACTGGGGGCAGCTCCTTGGCCACATGACATTTATAAATCTGCGGTCCTACAGGTTTCCATCTTATCCCCCTTGTTGTTTATCTATATCAAACTGCTGAAAGAGATCATCTTGGGGTCTACAGTGAGGTGTCACCATTGTGTCGATGACACCCAACTCCATTCTCCTTAACAGCAGAGCAGCTGGGTTTATAGAAGTCCTGAACAAAAGCTTAAAGATTTATGAGGGCCAGTAAAATGAAGCTCATTCCATAAAAGACCGAAGTGCTACTGAGAAAGCCATTCCATGAAGGAGCAGTCAGTCTATTTTAGAGGGATTATATTCTTCTGAGAGTAGGTTCATTGCTTAGAGGAGCTGCTGAATCCTTGTCCGTGGATGGAGGCTCAGGCCTCCACTGCAGCACACAGCACCTTTTTACAGCTGTTCCTTGGCCATGGTGCCCTGATTACATTCAGATTAGATTACTGTATTGAATTCCACACTGGGAGACAGTCCAAAAACTTGAACTGGTCCAAAATGCAGCAGACAAGATTGCAGTTGGGTGCTGAGCAGAGGCATCATCCTTATACTATTAGCGAAGTTGCCCCCGTGAGTGCGGATATCTAAATCCGCGCTCCGGGGGCAGCTGGGGGGCAGGGAGAGGTGTGCACAAAAATGCTAAAAGTTGGGAAAAAATCGGGGGGATGTTTAAATCCCCCCGAAAGTGCAAGAGCGTTTCTTGCGCATGCGCACGGAACGCTCTGCGTCCTACCTGGGTTCCCTGCGCAGGAAAGGGAATGAACGGCCGGAGAGGCCCAGCGGCGGCGGCGAGAGATAGGTGAGGAGGGGGAAGACAGTCGGGGAGGGGAAGAGAAACTGCCGAGGGCCCGGCGGATGTAAGCCGCGCGGGCCTCGGTTCACGGGAAAAAAAACAAAGAGAGAGGGGGGGAAGGAAGAGAGACCGGTGGGGGGGGAAGACAGCCCGGCGAGGCTCGGCGGATGGTAGGCGCGTGGGCCACGCTTCGAAGGGGGAAAGAGAGAGAGAGAGAGACGGGAGGAGAGAGAGAGAGAGAGACTGGGGGGGGAGAGACAGAACGGGGGGAGAGACAGACAGAGAGAGAGAGGGACTGGGGG